TACTGCGGGCGGACAGTAGGGACTCAAAAACGCTGGCTGCTAAACGTTACTCCTAACCTATCAGGTATTTTTTTTTAAATATATTTATGATTTTTACAGAGAGGAGGGAGAGGGATAGAGAGTCAGAAACATCGATGAGAGAGAAACATCGATCAGCTGCCTCCTGCACACCTTCCAATGGGGATGTGCCCGCAGCCAAGGCACATGCCCTTGACCAGAATCGAACCTGGGACCCTTGAGTCCGCAGGCCGATGCTCTATCCACTGAGCCAAACCGGTTAGGGCCCTATCAGGTATTTTTAAAAATACAGATTCTTATTTATTTCAGAGAGGAAGGAAGAGAGAGATGATGATGATGATGATGAGAAAGAATCATTGATTGGCTGCCTCCTCATGCCCCACACTGGGCATCGAGCCCACAACCCGGGCCTGTGCCCTGACCAGGAATTGAACTGTGACCGCCTGGTTCCTAGGTCGATGCTCAACCACTGAGCCAGGCTGGCCGGGCCGTGTCAGGGATTAGACACAGTGTCTCAAACGTGGCCTGTGGCAGGGCTAGCGCCAGGGGAGGCCGTGGGAGACCCAGCGGGGACCTTGCTTCACGCTGCTGGTGGGACAGCGGGTGGGACAGCGGGTGGGACAGCAGGTGGGACAGCGGGCGGGACAGCGCCGGGTGCCGGAGAGCCGAGCGGAGACGTGTGCCAACCCCGTTCCTTCTCCCGTCCCCAGGGTGGAGGTCTCCTACGAGCGGATGGAGAGCCCGGGCTGCCACGCGGTGGACGCCAGCCCCTCGAGGGAGAGCGTCCTCCAGGCGGTGCTCAGCCTCATCCGCGATCGTTGTCCTCAGCGGCCGTGACTCGGCGCCTCGTCACATGTCCAAGCCTCTCCGCCAGGGCTGGGTACACGCTTTCCTGCTCGGTGTGTCGCGGAGAATTGGGGACCAGACCTCTCCGTGTCCCCCTAATTACTGTTTGTGCTTCTGACCGATGGGCCCGTCGGGGTTGAGACGGGCCACGTTCCCGTGGGCGCCAAGAGAGATTTCTGCCCGGCACCACGCGCTTGTTCTTCGAATGGGCTTCACGCCGTCCCAGCAAAGGCCTCCACGGTTGTCTTGTCCTGAGGCACGAGGTCTACAGAGCCACGGGGAAGCCCTCCCCGCTCAGCGGCGTCCCATCCCAGCCTCCGCCACGCCCACACCTGCTCCCTGGCAAGACCTTGACACGGTGGGCGTGGACGTCTTCCCAGCCCGGCCTCACCCCATGGTCTTGACTGAGCCCCAGATCCCAGAGCCAAGCCCTCCCACAGGACGTGCCTGCGTGTCCTGGCCCCCAGGAGCGTCTGGTGGGCGGGGGGCACGTGCACAGCCGGTGTCCCCCTGTGTCGGCAGCTCACAACCCCGAGACCCCGAAGCGCAGGCACGCCGGCCTTTCTGGAATTATTCCTGCTTGTTCCGATCCCACCCTTTCCGCTGGGCACTGGCCGTGGGTGTGGGAGCGTCTCGCCCTGAGCCGGATGCCCGCACGTGGCCAGGTAGCCATGTGGTGGTAGCGCTGCGTCCCGCAGGGTCCCCGCGGCCCAGGGCCGGGCTGCACGACCAACAACGGGGCCCGGAAGCCACGGCCACGCGGGTTGTGTCTTTCATTCCCCGGGTGTGGTTTCTCTCACGGCGTGAGCACAGCGGGCCCTGGCGGGGGTCTCCCAGTGAGTGGTCTTGCACTTGAATGTCTGTGATGGCCCATGAAGTCCGCTGGGCGGTCTGTGTGAGAAAAGAGGACATTTAACTGCTTAGTGGCGTTGGGTGAATCATTTAATATTAGTGGTAACTTGATCAAAATGTGAGAATAATGCTTTCTGTGTCTTACGGAGTGGGCGGAGCCCGGCGATCACCTAAATCTCTTCCAGTTCTCAGATGGATAGATGATTATCTTCTTGAGACATCCCCCCCCCACCAGATAATTACATTTGAGGCCTTATCAGGATCATGCTATGGAATCTTAAATTATAGTAACATTTAGTATTAACTATATCATTCTATTTTTCAAAAGAACCATAGGTAATTTATACACACTAAATCGATGCATATAAATGGAAATACGATTTCAGATGAACATATTTTTAAAGCTGATACATGGTGTCGGGATCCGTTAAGATGTGATGTCGAATTATGTTCTTGGGGTTCATGACTTGGTCTGAACAGCTTGCGTGCTGCCCCGGAAAACAAGCCTTCCATCTTCCGTGCCTCCCTTCCGCCCCTCGCGGCGAATAAACTCGCTGTGGTGTCCAGCCTGCGCTGTGGTCGCGTGCGTGTTGATGTCCGAAGGTGCCCTCCCGGTGGCTCTGGGGTAGGAGGGGCATTTGGGCCATAAGGAGGTCAGGCCTGGGCTCCGGGGCCGAGCGCGACCTGCACATCCTGCCCAGACGCCCTGCCGGCGGGCTCAGCGCTGGCGCCCGCGTCCGACCCGGTTCTGTGCTCTGACGGGGGATCTTCACCAGCGACCCGATTGTAAGGTTCCCGCGGCAAAGATCAAACGCACAGCATCCCGAGTGGGCCTGTGGGCTTCCCCGGGGACGGCCCTGGCCGCCGTCCTGCTTGGCAGCATCTCGTGGCTGATCTTGAACTTTAAAAAGATCACGTGGGGAACCTGTAGCGAATGGCGTTTGGTACCATCCCCCACGCAGGACTGGGCTTTTTCTCTATTTTGTTTCATGAAAATGGAACCCAGTGGCCTCCCAGCAAGTCCATCCTGTGCCCACCAGGGGGCGGAGAGAGCTCGCTGTAACCCGTCCGGAGCTGGGCTGTGTGGCTGAGAGCACTTCCCTCTACGCCCAGGCTGCACCCCGAGAAACAGAGGTTCCTTTGACGGAAACGCCTGCTCTGGGGGGAGGACAAGGGACGAAGCACAGGGCATGTCTAGGTCGAAGCAGCACGTCCCTAAAAGAGGCTGACTTTTTGCTTCAAGAATTCCAAACACAGCCCGGGGTCGGAACAGTATCCCAGGAAAGGCTCCGTCTGAGCACGTGGGGCTGGGCCGAGCGGCTGCCCTGGGCCTGGTCGTGTGTCGGCAGCAGGTGCCAATGGCGTGGTTTCCGGTCTCCCAGGCTCGGGACGAAGCTCCCGCCTGTCCGCACCGATGCCGCCGCCGCCGTCCGAGCTCACCCGCGGCGCCGGGCTGGCCTCCCGGAGGGTGGCGGTCTGAGCCCGGCCTTCAGAGGCGTCTGGGCTCCGTGTGTTCTTGTTCACTTGCCCCTAAACCCCCCGCACCAGCTCCCCTCCTGGAAGCTCCGGGCGCCACGGGCTGCTTCTGAGAGTGGCTAACGCCCGCCAGGCCCC